GCCTGGCAACAGTGCTTGTCCAATTAAAGGAAGATATCAACCAGGTCAAACCTGGTACATTATCCGCCGAACGAATCAGCGGAGACGAGATCCTAGCAGTACCAAATGGATCAGCCTTGTTGCTCCTTATAGAGCTTCTCTATAAGGTTGAGGTCGATGTTTCGCCGACCTCAAGCCCTGGTAAGTTTCCCTTACGACACCGCAGCGCAACAGTAGCAAGCGCTAACCGTATCACAGAAGCATTTGAGATATTCCTCAATCGGATGAATGTGCAATTCAGCTCATCAAAACATTCCGTCCAAGTGGCGGTTGTGGGGGAGCACTACGCTGACCATGATTTCTGGGAACAATTGTGCCCTGGAATAACGCCACCCTGGAACCGTCTAGTACTACAGCCTACGTTTCACAAGGCTATCTAGACCGAGATCCGAGCGGGCCGAAATCCAAGCGAAACCTAACGGCGAAAACTGCATACCGATGTCCAAACTTACAAACCCGCTTTCAGCACTTACACAAAAAGCGTCTCGGCGATGTGCAGTTGGCAGAAATAATGGCCAAGAATGAGGACAAAAACAGCATACCTTGGGACGGGCCTTCAAGTTGGGGATACAAGGAACAGAGGTCGCCTACCGCGCCTACCGGCGATGCCGCAAGTGCCGCAAGTGCCGCAAGTGTTACAACTACAATTGCCCAGAAGAGTCTGGGTAATTAGAGGACAATGGGAGCAACGCAGTTGGGAAGTGTGCGGAGGACATATGCCATGTGTACTGCACAAAGCAGCCGCTGGACACAGAGGGAACGGTCCGTCCGTTTATTAAATGGAAAGCCGGTGGATTCCACATTCCCGGTGTCAAAGACACATCCACCTTCTCTTTCGAGGGGATTGTGAAGGAGCTCGCCAAAGGCGACAAAGCCAACGCGAGTTAGAGGCTCCTTGGTGATGTCGACCCGCGCGAACCACTTGCCGCGACCTCGTTCTGCTTCGACCGGTTCAGCAACACCGCAAAGCAGAATATTTGCGTTCGTTGGATAGGATCTAATCGATGCACAAAACAACCATCACGCTTACCGGGGCCCACGAACTTCAAACGTATCAACGAAGCATTGGCCCGATCTGATACTATAGCGAGGAAATGCCCGAGCCTCTCCTATTGAAGGTGACAATGTCGCAATCCCAACAACCTCTGGGAGAAGGACTCTGCGCGAACTTGGATTCGGGCTCAAGCACGAGACACATCCAAAATGGCAACCACCACCAGCCCAGCAAGGGGAGGTTCAAGCACCGGTCCTGGCCGACGCCAGCTATATTTGCGACAACCTTCACAGAAGGCGATGTATGTTGGCTTCGCGTTGTCAGAAGCCACAATACAGACAAGAGCCGAGGACATTTGTCATGTGTATTGCACGAGGATTCCACATTCCGTCCATTTCCCCCTCCCTTTTTTGGTCCACGGTCAGCGCCAAAGCACCGTCCTACGCTGGAGCTACCGTATTGGGATGAACCTGAAGACGTTGGTCAGCACCGTCTCGACGTTCCCGGTATGGACAAGACTATCCAGCCTACGGATGGCCTATCCCTGTCTCTATCACTTCTGACCCAGTGACAACTTCTCATCTACGTTCGAGAGCCAGAGGCTGTGGTGAATGACTGAAGGCATTTCGCATGCCCAGGGGCTTCATCGATGTGGTCAAGGCGCTCTACGAAGGTGGGGAGACAACACCATGGATCAACGGCTACGAAGGTCGGGCAATCAACGTGCTGGGGGGTGTGAAAGAGGTCCTCTTGACAACTCCACTGCCTCCATTCCTGCAGGACTATATATCTTGCCTTTTATCCGCTGGGAATTCGCTAACGACGGTAGCAATATGAACAGATCAAGGAACGGCTGTGTGAGAAGCAGTTGCATGTCTATGTCAACATACACCCCGATCTAGGTGTCTGATGATAATGATGATATTCAGTCTTTTCAAGATGACTAGAAACAACCACCCACCACCCGCAATACAAGGAGAATGGCAAAGAGCGAGCGATCCGATGAGGGGAGAGTCAGCTATGCCCTCAGATCGGCCCTTGCAACGGCGACAAACCTCAAGAGGGTAGCAGGATTTGCCCTCATTCTGGACAACCGAAGTCTCTGACGATAACGAGGATAAAGAAGAGGACACAGACTATCTGTGAACCGCCCGCCAGACGCCGCCAAATTCAAAGAATCCTACAGCTCGCCTCCTCGAGTACCTTGTATTTGCGTACAAGGGACTCGACTTCTATTTCGTTGCTGGGATAGACGAAGATTTGCCAAAGGGAGAGCAGAGACCTCAGTCAGAAAGAGGATCTCTATCTGAGGAAGAGCAGAGACCCCAGTCCAGAAAGAAGACATTTATCTGAGGAAGAGCAGAGAACTACGTCGTGGACAGAGACGCTCTCTATCTGAGGAAGACTAGAATCACAATATGTCATTTGACATGGCTCATCAGTCATTCCATTCAGAACAAACGAAACGGGAGGCCCCGCAGAGCCCTGTTTCAGACTAAGCTGGGTGTCGTGTCGTGTGTGAAAGAATATTATATATCATATACGTCGAAACAACATTGGGCCGGAAGAGCTTGGTTGATTGATGTTCTGTGTGGACTATGGAGCCCTAAACGCCATCACAATAAAGAACCGATATCCTATCCCTCGGATGCGCGAGACTCTCAACCAGCAAAACAAAGTATTTCACCAAGTTGGATGTCATCGCAGAATTCACCCGCATACGGATCAAGAAGGGTGATGAGTGGAAGACTGCATTTTCGACCCGATTTGGCCAGTTCGAATACCTGGTCAGGCCTTTCGGGCTGTGTAATGCCCCATCATCTTTCAAGGCTACATCAACTCGGCCCTTCAGGATATACTGGATGACTTCTATACTGAGTATCTCGACGATACTCTCATCTTTACTGACAACTTCACTGACATTGTCAAGATTTTCCCTACGGTCGATACTTGCGAGACGAGTTCCACCAGCAGCCAGCGATTCGATCCTGATATTAGGATTGGCGAGGGAGCGGCTACGTATAGGTTCCTCTGGTTGTCTGGTTGGAACTCAAGGCCGACATAAAGGAAGGTGCCCTCGTGCAGATGTCCGGGCGATCCAAAGCCCCTTGGGTCCGGATGACATCGTGCCCCATAAGACACTATGCGCCGACTTCAGACAAAGATTCTACCTTATATACGCGGCCAATGAGTTGATCTCGGAGCAGAAGAAGGAGTACCATCTCTTCGAGTGGAATGTCCTTTTGGAAATCCTGAGCAAGGCTTCCGTGACTGACTATTAGCCAACCACGCCCGGAGTATCGCCGAGAACACTCAATACAGAATCACACTCTACTGACTTTGACTCGATGACTCCCTATCACTAACGATTCTCCAGTCTTCAACCTTCAACAAAGCACCAGCGAGTAGGTCTTATGCGAGTCGGGCCGCGTCGTGGTCTCGTGCTAATCGCGTTATAGTGTCTACCAACCCGCCATGGCACCGTCTCCCAGACTTCAAGCGTACAAGAAGGCAGACCCTAAAGCAGGCAGATCTCAACATATCGCCGTGGTGGGGTCAGATTACAAGCTGCTGATATCGATCCTGGCCACGAGGCTAGAAGAAGGACTGCCAAAACAATCTACTATATATCCACCCGACACTCGTCCAGCTGGGGGATCCTCCCCCCTTTTCTTGTCCAGGAACGGCACCCTATTCGAGGGTAGCATGATCCCTTGAGGCTTGACTGTGGGACGAACGAAGCTGGCCATGATACCAACTTGACCTTCTCCTTCTTCGTCTGATTGTGACTGTTTGATTGTTTTGAAGTGTGATTCTTGCAATCTTCGAGTTGTCAAGTCGCGTACTAATGGCAACAGTGCTTGTGACCGCAGTTGATCCTGTTTATGTGTACTCGTTCCACCCGACCCAGTTGCCTGCGTGGCTGGAAATGGAACAGTTCTCTTCGCCGGAACAGTTCACCCGGTCGGACTCGGCTTTTTCGACAATTGATCAGGAGATCCGCTGGCTTGATGATTTCGTACGAGAAGTCTACGCGATCGTTTGCCTTACTCCCACAGGACCTTGAGCTCGTGCTACTCCGTCCTACAAGTACGTCGGCCAATCCTCTACTCCCACGACAGTTTGCCAAAGACTTCCGGGCTCCTCAGTTTGCGATCCGTCAATGGCTCATCTTGCTACGTCGAACCCATCCTGGAGACGCCGATATTGTCATTGACCCTATTTGGAGCCTCTCTCCCTTGGTGGCTCTGTTGTTGATCAATCACTATCACAAGAGATTGAGTTGGTTCGAAAAGGCAGTACTTCTCCCCTCGCCGAGGGTGAGCTTAGGAACCATGAATTCCATGCGGCCACACCGTGGCTGAACCCTGTACGATGTGGATTTTAGCTGATTTCTCGACACATGCTTCCGATCAGGCAAAGGCAGATAAGATGCAAGAAAAGAGAAAGATTACTCGTCCGGAATAGCCGTAGTTGGGGGTATGGATTCCGGAGAAGATCGACAAGTCGAGCATCTCGTTCCTCTCTCGTCACCTCTATCGTCGCGTTTGTCCGCAGAATCGATGACAAGTCACCATTTCGTTCCTCTCATTCGGCTCCTATGGTTTCGGAAATCATGGTGTGGCGAGGCGAAAACTGTCCAACAGCATCACGACGCGAACCAGCTTTTCCGGATGCGTGTCGATTTTTGCAATGCGGATCATCGAATTTCACTACTGGAGAAACGGAACGACGAGACATACAGTTTCCCTATCTAAACCGAACTGAAAAAGGTTGAGACAAACCCCCTGTCTCTCCTCCTGTACGTAATTGCGATCAAGACACTGAACAGAAAATCGGCGGACGAGCCACGCCTGTTAGGTCCCCCTATATATTGGGCTTGGGCCCCCACCATCAACTATGCCTAGGGGGCATCTCGGGGACAGCAACGGATAACGGATAACGGGCTGGACGGCAACATGGCGACATGAGAGGGCCGCATGACCGAGCAAAAGCCTCATCTACCCAGAGATTCTCCCACTATTCCTCATCCCAAGTTCCCAAACAGAACAATTACCAAGAACCAAACTACGCAGATGATCTCGGGCACAACAACGGGGAGCAGTCAACGGGGCGAGATCCCAACATGACAGAGCCGCATGGTCGAGCAAATCTGTCAACTTCCCAGAGATTCTCCCACTATTCCTCATCCCAGACAGAACAACTAGCAGAAGCGATCATACGCAGACCAGCTCGGGGACAGCAACGGATAACGGTCAAGGGACGAGATGGCAACATGAGAGGGCCGCATGACCGAGCAAAACTATATATTCCCAGAGATTCTCCCACCGGAATTCTCGCTCATGGCGACTCGGCAAGAAAAGTGCAGTTGAGACTGCAGAATCACCATGACCTCGACATTAGCCAAGAAGACATTCTCAGCAAGTATGGCGTTCTGTTGGCCCATGCTTGGGAGAAAGCCTATGAGCAAGGTTATCTCAATCACGGCGGCAAACCAATGCAGCCTGCACAGGCACACCGAGAACGGAACCCAGTTGAATCGGGTGCACTGGACACATTCTCCGAACCCGATGAAGTGGACAGCATCCCCGACGCTGCGAGCCAGGGCGAAGCAGCAGTCCACAGTGACTTGACTGCAATGATCACTGGGTATGATACATCCGCCGAAGCATGGGCTGCTCTTGCAGAACGTTTCGATAGAGACACTGGAAACTCTACCATCTATCTCTTTTGAACCATCACCTCCCTACGCTTCAAAGAAAGCGATGATCTCCAGAAGCACCTTGATGACTTGGGATGAAGCGGATCAAATGGGCGGCATCACCTCAGTCAAAGCAAGATCCCAAGTTTCCAAACAGAACAGCAATCAGAACCAAGCATACGCAGACCAGCTCGGGGATAGGGACGGTAACAGAAATGGAGAGGAATGGTAGGGCAGCCTGATCAAGCAACTGTCGCGCAGTATGTTTCTCAAGCGACTCGCGTGCGGCACGTTTGCTGACCAAATCATAGATTCCAGAGTTCTCGGAGGGCAAGGCGAGGACTCATGGGGTTGGCTGATCGGGTTGCAAGTCTATATATATACATACACAGTCTTTGGCGCCCCGCCTCGCCTTCCAGTCGGGCCTCTTCCTCTTTGCGCTGGCGACGAGGGCAACCCACTCGACGTTGCCTCGAAATTGCCTTCCTCTGCCTTCACTGAAACGTACGATTCACAAGGAAGGTTCATTGAAGCGGAAGATGCCGAACAAGGAGGCAGATCGCTGACTGACATGGGAAAGAATAGCTTGATTGCAACAGTCTTGGATACACGCCAGGATGAGAAAGCAGATGGCAAGGAAAGAATTGACCCTCTGCGGACAACACCAACACAATCGGCTGTACGTCAGCGACGATCATAGCCCGGAAAACATGATCCCGTTTGTTCCCAAGGTGCACCAGACCATCGGTGCAGCTTGGCAGATGCAGGGAGAAGTCAACGCTCAAGCTGGCGCAAGAGAAAGCGGAAATGGACCAGGTGATCAAGGCCACGGTAGAGGATCTAATCCGGACCTACCGGACCTACCGGACCTACCGTATATTCTTGCAGAATCTCCACCAGCACCATGTCGACTGGCATAATCTACTCCCTGGTGACGCCATGAAACCAGGAATTAGGAATTGGGGACCGATCTCCATGTCAGAGACGCCATTCTCTGGGCAAGACGCTGTGGAATGGTTGTCTCTGTGCTCACTTGTCTCTGAACGAAGGAACTACGCAGTCATGTCCCGAGAAAACTGCACAAAGTGGCTTCTGCGAATGCATTAGTAGCCGCTCGAAATTTGAACGAGATCAGCGGTCGCCTACGCGACCTGAAAGATCGAATCGAGGATATCCATAGCTTTACGACAACAGCTTGAACCATACACACAAAGCAGTGGAGATTGCGGTTACTTGTTACATCACTCAGGCACTACAGAGTACTCAACCATCCTGACCTCAGGACACCTACATACACAATGAAGGGTCCCGTCGACCACAACGAAAGATACCAGATACACCACGAAGGATACCGGATACACCACGAAGGATACCAGCGGACATACACAACGAAGGATATCATCGAACACAGGAGAGTCGTCACCAAGCCAAGTCAAATGCGGTGTGCGAGTTGGATTCACTACCGCTGTGATGTGGAGCAAGATGCGCAGCTTGATGGGCAAGTGAAAGATGTGAAGCAACAAGCAGTGAAAGCCTACCTTAGTGGCTTTGTGCCTATGTTTGCTTCTCTAGGCATATATGCTCTCTCTCTCTTAGTCTGGATCTTACCATCCTTAGCATCATCAATCATATCAAGTTTGCCAGATTCAACTGTGCGGTGCCCGGTGCTGCAGATCCTTCGAGCTTCGCAAGCTCCGAGACTCGATGTTGGATATACTACTCGTCTATTATCACATCACCTGGATGCCCAGATATAACATACTGCTCATCCATCATCACCTCAGATAGATACCTACATACCTACATACAAGCACAGTATGGAGTACTCGGTATGTACTCGGTACGGAGTACTCATCCATAATTCCATCCCTAGATACCTACATACCTGCTCGAGCATAGCATTCTCATTTTCGTCACTCACCACCTACCTACCTTCTACCTAGCCAGACACACTCCACTATCTATCTATCCACTATCTATTCATCGGTAGATTCTCCCTGGATCTAGTCCCAAATCAGGACAGTGCTGTTCTTGACCCTTGACTGTGACAACGCCGAAGTCCCAGCTCAGGCAGTAAGTTGACTTCAGCGTTCTCGCTTGAACTGGCGGACGAAGCGCCAGTCCGAACCTCATTTCTCCGGAACCGTCATTGCAACCACAACTACGCCCGGTTCACGCCACGCGCTGACAGGATGATGCAAATCCACTCAGGGCCACCAGGTATGTTTGATATTTAGATCTCCGTCCTGACTAGATCCCATTCCACCACCGGATCCAGTCAGGACCATCCTGCCACGAAGTCATAGCAAACTTAGCACAAGGTCATCACCATCGACGCCGACGCGACCGCCACGTGTTTTGGAGTGTCGCTTAGATCGAGTTGGCACTGGAGAGCGTGTTGCAGAGGATGATCTTGATACTGCAGAGGCTGTTGCAGAGGGCAAAGTTGGCACTCTTATTATATGCCTGTGGTATGCTTTTTCTCTGCCAACTGCCTTCAGTAGCATGGCCAGAGCTCGAACAATTTTCGATTCCGGAGACTGTCGCCCGAAATACCCTCTTCGAACCTTGACTTGATTCCTCAGGATCAGTCAGTCCGACTCGGCATTTTCGACTGTCAACGTCAACCAACGAATTCACTGGCTAGATTTCGACTGTCGACCAACGAATCGAATCCACTGGCTAGATATCTAGACGATCGCTTTGTCACAGTCTCGAGATGTTTTGTCTTTGTCGGATTTGGAACTGTCTCAAGAGTGAGAGAGTATGAGCCGCGAGAGGTAGAGGTTCGCAGGGCACGTACATAAGACCCCAGTGACGAGTCCTGCACCACCTATGTACGAGGACTCCTACAACCCGACAACCGCACCCGCACCCGGACTAATGGCGAACTCTGGAACCGTCCCACGTCCCAATACCATACATGTGTCAAACTCAGGCACTAGCTTAGACATTCCCAGCCTTGCCCTTTGACCAGAAGGCTGGTATAGGCATGCCTACCTTAGGTATGGTCTGGGTTCTCCCTATACCCTATTGACAGAGCATAGACTATTTCAACCTTTAATAGTTATAGCTATAGCTACGGCCATAGTCACAGTCACAATCGCAGTTATACATAGCTATAGCTATAGTCAATATCATATGGTGGCTACACCTACCTACACCATGGTTCTTTGGGAATGTCTCTCGCTCTCGCTCTCGCCCCCCCGTCCCTCTATTTATCCCTCCTCCCTCCCCCACAAATACAGATCCATACACCACACACACTTCCATAGTGACGCTTAGGGCTAGGGTCAATATTTTCTTGAAACCACACCCTTCCACGCACGTAGGGTTAGGGTCTACTTTTCTTGACTCCCCAAAGCTGAGAGAGACTAAAGTCTCCCCGTGACGAACTGGGCCTCCCCATACCCGAAACTCCAGTCCTCCCTCGCATTCCCGACACAGGAGATAATCAGATCCCCGCCCTTGAGACCACACCGACTGGCCAGCGCGTCAGCCAGAGCCGCAAACGTCTTCTGTTTAGTGGCGGCGTCTCGGCCCTGCTGCACGATCTGGATCACGACCAACTGGTCGGTGCGGGCGTAGTCGAGCCCGAGCCCGGTGTCGTCGCAGATCAATTCGTCCGGTTCGTGCTGGCTGATGATCTGGTATCGGTCTCGAGGGGGCGCGTGGAAATGGTCCTGGAGGACTTGTTGGATCGTGTCGGCGAGAAGGCGCAATTCTTGGCCCGACCGCTGGTTTTTGATCACGTCGATTCGGACGAGAGGCATCGTAGTAGTTGTAGTAGTTGTAGTAGTTGTAGTAGTTGTAGTAGTTGTAGTAGTTGTAGTAGTTGTAGTAGTTGTAGTAGTTGTAGTAGTTGTAGTAGTTGTGGTTGTTGGCGTTGTTGTTGGTAGTGTACCTGCGATACTACTGTAGATACTACTGTAGATAGGTGATGCGATACTACTATAGATACTACTGTAGATAGGTGATGTGAGTAGTAGTAGTAGTAGTAGTTGGTTTTATAAACAATGTAGATATACTTATAGTTGTATGTATATATATATGTGAGAATTACAGTAGTTTCTGTCCTAGACAAATCATAATTACTGACTGACTTGATTGATGAGCATGACTTGCTATATATACTATACCCACTCCCCACTCACACTCACACTCACACTCACACTCACTCACACCTCTAGACCTATAGTAGACTCCCTTTTGCCTCTTGCCTCTTGCCTTTTGGTAGAATAGAATGACGGTGGCGGAATCGCACTCGCACTCGGGCCTCTCTGGTAGGCTTAGGCCTTAGCCTTGCACCCGCCATATCCGCATTCGTATCCGCATCCGCCCTCTCCCTCTCCACAAGTCTGAACAACTCTTCCGCGGACGCAGAGAACCAGAAACAGAACCAGAAACAGACCTAGAACCAGAACCAGAAACAGAAACAGAAACGGACACTATATCATACTATATCGTGTTATTGTTATATTTCTCAAATCAAATCCCTTTAAATCACAGCAGTGCTTACCTGCAACACTCCTCGCGGCGAAGAAATGGAAGTGGAAGTGGAAGTGGAATGATGCTGATGCTGATGCTGATGCTGGCCAGGACAGAAGGCTGATGAGCGCTCATCTGGTAGACGTAGATGTCGGGATTCTGGTCTGGATTCTGGATTCTACAGATGGAGAAGGAGGAGATGGAGATGGTAATAATGCAATATTCAGGGCAACATCCATGCTAGAGTTGAAGCTATATACTGTCAGTAGTGTATTGCTGGCACTGCTATTGATGTTGATCAAGATAGATCCCAAGCCAAGGTATATTCGACATAATTCTACAATATATACTCCGTCAATTCTCTCGATATGTATATGCTGTCGATATGTTTTCACCATATCATCTCGATATCTCTCCATGTATTTATTCTCAACGATATCTCTCCACACTCAACGATATCTCCATTTCAGCATGTCTAATGTCCATTGCTACCCTCTTGCTCTTCACAACTTCCCCATTTCATCATGTCTAATGTCCATTCCCTCTTTCCCTTCACAACTTCCCCCCTTGAAGACTCTGCAGAACCCTGACCGTGTCGCGCTGAATATCTCGCACAAGACTCGCGGCAGGTCGAACATCATGAATCAACCCAACCGAGGCACCCGCATAAGTCGCCACTCGTCCTTCTGGCCCCCACGCCTGATCACCGCGTACCACCACTTCGTCATGAAGCTTCTGGAGAGTGTCGAACGGCACGCCGTTGACATGGTCGACATAGGAGCGGTTGATAATGGTCCGCGGGGCGTATTGCTCAGGCCAGCCCACAGTGCCGCGCAACTGATTGTAGAGCACGGTACGCGTGGTATTGGCGCCGCCGTCGCGCGCCCGCACAATTTCCTGCTGGTAGCCACGGCTGATGCGGGCCTCGGTGGCGGCCAGAAACCGTGTGCCTATAGCCACGCCGGTCGCTCCTAGGCACAAGGCTGCCGCCGCGCCTCGGCCATTGACGATCCCGCCCGCCGCGATCAAGGGGATGTTCTCGTGTCCGTTCTGCTGCAGAACCTGGGCCACCTCCGGGAGCAGCGCGAGCAAGCCGAGTCCATCGTGGGCTCGACCGTGGCCGCCGGCTTCGGCGCCCTGCACGACAATCGCGTCGGGCACTTGGGCCAGTTTGGATAGTAGCTCCGCCTCGGCCACCGTTCCGATTTGGATCCAGATGGCAATGTCGGGAGACGCGCGTCGGAGCGTCGACGACCACAGCGCGTAGTCTTTCTGTTCGTCGCGTGGCGCGTAGAGCCATGCCACGCTCGGGCGGTATTGCTGGACCAGTTGTGCTGCGGTGGCTAGGTCGTCGCTCCACAGTTGGAACCCGACGCCTATGGGCAAGTTGGATGGCGACGACGATGCTGCAATGTCGCTGAGCTTGTCACGCAATTCCACACTCTCCTTTATCAGTTGTCGAGCCTCTTCTAGGTCGTCTTTCATAGCCTTGGTCTTCGCTGCGGGCCCGATGAAGCCAAATCCTCCAGCAGCCGACACGGCCACTGCGAGCCTGGGTCCCGCCAACACCCGCATCGGCGCGGCCACAATCAACGGTGCAGACGTCCATGGGAAACGAGAGGTTAATCTCGCGGACAGCTGCTGTAAAGAGCCAGACATGGCTGAAGGGTGAGAGTGATTTCGCCTTACCGTGACTCAAGATGGACAATTCTTTGCAGCAGCACGAAAGGGAAGGGAAGGAAAGAGAAGAAACATCCTCATTGTGTCTGTTTGTCATGCGTTGTGACCCTTGGCGTGGCCATTGCGAGTCCAAGTTGGCCGCGGAGATGCTGCATGTCATGTCAGAAACAGGCCACAACAAACGTCACTCCTTTTCCTTTTAGTGGATGCATCACGCGTGAAAGGTCGCGGTCGTCCGGGCAGTGCCGAGTCTTGGAGACAGCTTTAATCGCTCCGTGCTGTAGACCTGCGGCGGTGGTTTCGTGACATGACTGCGTGTCGACGTCGATGGCGATGTTCGCGGCACGCATTGAGAGAGATAATAGACAGCAAGGCAAAAAGACATGGACGATTCTCGATATGCGGAGACCAAACTTAGTGCAGTTCACGGATAGATCAGAACTAATCCCCTCATCCACTGGGCGAGCCTCTTGCACGCTGTGCGGTATGAACCGTGTCTGGGATAGTCGGGCCCGAGAAGATCTGCGCGAAGTAAATGTCCGGCTTCCCAAAGAACGGACTGGCATAGTTTGTCTTCATCTTGAAGGCGAGGCGACAGGTCATCTTCTGGATAGCAGCCGGGGGTTGAATCTTTGAGCACGCCCTACAAGTACCCTGAAGACTTTCACGAGATGGAGAAGACAGTAGACCTTGCATCTATACGGGAAGCTAACAAATGTTACTGCTGGTGAGATCGAGGGCTCACGCGAAGCAATCTCCTCATTTCCGCCACTACCGCCTCATCTTCCAGGTCCGTGTCTACATCGTCTTCTGCACAATAACACCGCAACAGCTCCTCTGCGGTATTGTAGGCGGCTTCGGCGTCTCTGACCGCAATCTGGGTACCAATTCGAATGGAAATCGCGCCTGTCCAAAGCGAGGCATCTGCCACCTCTGAGAGCACCACTCCCACCCACTCACATTCAATGGCTCTGGACGGCGGCCTCCTGAGCCCCATGGCCCTGACCACCAGGCAGAATTTCTGGCTCGTGGCGCCAGACAGGAGCAAGTGTTTCTCCTTGTGGATGAACGCAGAGTCGAGTTTTCGACGCACTGCAGGATGCATTGATATGGGCTCTAGCATTTCCGGGTCGACCGAAGAAAGCGCACACGCCGAGAAGATCCCGTCGAGAGCGCCAGTATCTGGGTCAATGCCAAACAGTTGGTCCCACGACAGGAACTTGGTCGACAGAGTGGTGGGATCTCCGGAGAAGAGGTTTGATGGGCACCAGGAAAGCGGACCATGCTCTGTTATAGTCGGGGCGCCGTGGATCAAGATCGAGGCACTGACAGTGTGATAGGACGTGATGATTTGCTGCATCACTCGCGCTTGCATGTTGACCGCGTCCACTTCTGGCTTTATCCCGGCCAACAGTGCAGCCACAACCACCCGGTCCCTGGGCCATGAATTGCTTCGCGTCCTCAAGATACGCATCAGGTCCGAAAAGGTGCGGTCTAATTCGCTCGTCAGTGTCCACAGCCTTCGAACGATGAAGGAAGCAGCGATGTGCCCGAGACTGCAGGTGGGAAACGTGGCGAGGACGTCCGTTTCCAGATCCTTAATGACCGGGGGGCCATTCTCATCATCCGGATCTCCAAACAAAACCTTGACGCTCTTGGATGCCAGCAGCTCGACGGCGGTCCAGCCCCGGGTGAACCATGGCGAGAGGACGAGGGCAAGACAAGGAGTACCATCGTCTCTCCACGGAATCCTCAAGAGGTATTCGTCGTGGACAACCGTGTGCTTGGCCAAACTGAAGTTGAGATGCATATTTCGCAGAGCCTGTGCCCTTCGCTTTGGGTCTGTTGGGATTGACACGGCATCCCACCAAAGTCCGTCACTGTCTAGGTCTTGGGCGATGTTGCAGAAGAACTGGAAGAGACAATTGTTCATCAACCCCCGGCCTTGGGTCCCGGCCCCAGTTCCGTCAGACCACACATGCGAGATGGCGATGTAGTTACCAGCGCTGAGAACTGGCTTGTAGGTCAGTACATCTGAATTCTGGGCTGATGGCTCCACAGTGTGATTCCAGATCAAGCGGTCCAGACTGGTGTTGTTGGTTGGAGGGAATTGAATCAAGGGGCATGACTGGCGCTCGGTCTCAGAGCATTTGTGTCTTTGCGCAACACGGGTGCTATCCATGGAAGAAAAGTGGCACAGATCGGATGTGCAAGCCTCATGAGTGTAGGAATCCGATGGCCGGGCACCCGCGGAGGATATGGGCTGCGCCGGGAGGTCAAGATTCTCGGTCTGTTTGAATAGGTAGGCTCGCTGCTTATCGTTCTGGTCAATCAAGGAGAGAAGTGCAGGGAGGTCCCGCCATTGACGGGGACAACAAGAAATCAGGTTCCAGAGCCGATTTTTGCAGATGCCCACAGCCTCGGCCTTTTCCATTGCCTTGTTGAAGTCGTCTTCGTACACAATATCTGGAGGCATAAAGTTAGATATCTGATCGCGTATCGCCCTCCTCCTGGGGGGCCGATCAAAATCTGCGTCGACATGCGCTATCCATTCTACCATATCGTAGATCAAGCTGTCCGGCAAGACATCTATGTCGGCAGTCTCGACCTTTCCCCCATAGACTGGTATCTTGGCACATCGGAATATGGCCAGTGAGATATTCGCCTTTGGAGGGGCAGCCTCATCATAACGTAAGATCAGAGAGGTGAAGTAGCATGCGAGGCACTGGACCATCCACTCCAAGAGGGAGGTACACCAGGTCGACCGGCCACGGAGGTGTTGCAGCAGGAGCTCTTTGGTCACGAGGCATTTGGAACTTGGGCAGGGCTTGATGGCCGACAATTTGGCGCAGTGATATAGACGCTCAAGAGTGGAGGGATAAATTTTGACAAGCTCATGTGCGTCCACAATCTGAATCATGAGTGAGGGTTAGTGATGTAGTCTTTCGTGTATTTCAAACGTGCCACCGCAGACTTGGGTGTCCAGTAACGTCCCTTGCCTACTGTTCCATTCTCATCAAGATTGACGCAGACCTCGGCCTTGATTGCCCTGTCACCGGGTGCCAGTGGCTCGAGAAGAGTTCCTTCTTTCAACAGTGCCCTCTTTTGCTCCCGCTCCCAGGGTATCAGGTCTAACGAGGAAGCGTGGTAGTCAGGATGATCTGTAGGTAGTGGTGTGCGAAGACGAGTACGAGCACGGGAAACACCGTCGCCGCCTTTATTGGGAGGCTTGGCCTCCGCACCCACTTCCGACCGTGATGGTGACGCCGGCTGTGACAACGTGAACTCCAATGTGGAGGCAGGGTAGTCTGGATGTCGTGCGGGAAGTGTCTGTCGAAGTTTGGAAAGATATGCCATGGGGGTTGAGTCTGTGCCGGCCAGCTACACAACCCGAATTTTCGACTTGGTTGTGCAAGGTGCCTAGGTGCAAGGTACCTAGGTGGCCAGCGAGGCTCCTCTGTGGTGTTGAAGAATGCAGTGCGGTGGTGGATGTGGATGGGTGAGGCTAAGGATCTGGGGTGCGGGCAGCGGGTGCGGGCAGCGGGCAACGAGCGTCACGATGGGGGATACTGTAAGGGGATCCTGGGACCCGGAGTTTCAAGTTCGAGCCTAGACAGCCCCTAAGCCCCCAAGCCTCAGCCAGGCTTATGTAGGCGCCTTGTCGCAGCCAAGCCTCGGCTAAGCACTCCTGTTTGAGACTGCGGTGCAAGCCACCTCCGTACTGTTATTTATATTTCATCAACCATGCTCCGTATTGTTCATGCGCTGCAGGGGACATCAGGACATCGAGACATCGGGATCACTGTTCTGCATTCGAGCTAGACACTTGAATGCGAAGTGATCACGAAATTCACAGAGAGCCTCCCTCCTGCGACTGAAATGACCAGTATCCATGTCCAACGTGTGATCATCAGCTCCATGTGAACGGCTGCGCCAATCTCTGTCTTGCCTCCTGTTTCAACCTGGTCTGGTCCATTAGCGACCACCTCAACCACCTCGTGTACCTCGTGTACCTCGTCTACGGCGGCGGTAATGGAACCTTCTTTTGGTCTGAGACACTCCAGCACCCATGTCAAACTCGGAACGTCTCGCCACAATCCGCCGTCCACACTCTCATCCTCAGACGCCCGAGGCCGATGGCTGCTCAGCCACCTTTACCACGTCCGGCTCCAACACTACCTACAAGGCTGCTACTCTGCCGAATCCCTGCCCTTCTCTAACGAGGCTGAAGCTCTTGACTCGGATAAGTCACCTCCCTGGACGATCCCAAGGGGTTGATTTACCTCGCCTCGTGAGTCTCGGCGCCAGAGGTTGGAAGACATCATGGCATGGTCGATGCCCTTCCCTACTTGTTGACTTGTTGAAAATTCATTGCAAAGTAGACTTTACAGTGCTGTTGTTCTAGTTGACCCCAGTCCGCTCCTTCAACTCCTTCCACTCATTTCAGACTGCGCATTTGGCGGTATTTCCATCCTCATACTCTGTACAGCGCAAGCCAAACAACCGCGACAATGAAAACCCTTTACAGCATGTACCTCGTTCCAGCGTTGTTCGCTGCTTCGGTCGTTGTCAACGCACAGTCGGCACCTAACTTTCCCGTCCAAGTCCAGACAAACCTCAGGGTAGAATATCAATCGACGAACACAGACGTCAATCCGGCCGGCACCACTTTACAACAACAGGGTGAGTAGGAGAAGCCATCGATGACATTTCCCATGGAACTATCGAGCCCAGCCCTTATGTTTTACTGTATCTGATCTCCTCCTGTCTGGCTATGAACATACCCCGAATTGATTGAGATGATGGATTGAATGGCTGGCTGATTGACTGATCCCAGATCTCCTCGATGAGCCTACCGTCCAAGGCCCGAAAGACTCAACCAGGACGTTGACATTTTTGCTTTTCATGATTGACCAAGACGCCTCCAATGGTTCAGGCCAACGGGTCCAGTTGCTGCATTTCTTCCAGCCCAATCTCTCCGGCGGTTCTGAGGTGCTATTCGCCGACAAGGACGCGGCGAATGCCACCGAGGCAGCGAGCGTGAGCTACCTCCCTCCTACACCGCCGACAGGCGACGGTGCACATAGGTACACTCTATTACTGTACCCGCAGCCCAAAGGGTTCGAGATTCCCACCAAGTTCTCATCGTTCTTCCCGCCCCAAAGCACCTCGAATAGGATAGGGTTCGATATTGCCGGGTTCGCGAACGCTGCCGGGCTGGGTGATCCAGTGGCTGCGAATTGGTTCAAAGTGCAGAATGGCGACAGCGTGGCGACGACGTCGACGTCGACGTCGGCTTCAAGCATCATTGTCTCGACTTCAGCGTCAGTCGCAACGTCAGAAACAACCAGCAGCGTCGACGTCACGTCCGCAGAGAGCATAGCCTCTACATTGACCTTCACCACAGCGCCAGCATCGGAATCTGCGTTTCCCCCTGCATCTACCGACAGCGCAGCCGCCACCTCGGGAGAAACAAGCACTCCCAGCATCGAAACATTTACCATCGCAGCCTCAACGACCACAGACTCCACCTTCGGCTCGGCAAGTACAGAATCAGCGGGGTCAACACTTTCCACGGCTGCTGCGCCATCAGCAATGACAGCGTCGTCCGGGTCCAGCGCTAGCGCCAGCGCCAGTGCAAGTTTGGGTTCCGCCAGTGGTTCAGCGGGTGCTCGGACTTTGGCGCCGAGGAGTCTGGGCTCTTTAGTTGCTGGCATTATGGTGGCAGTCGTAGCCGGTACAGGAATGGCCGTGTGGTAGGATCACAGCCGGTACAGGATTGGTCGTGTGGTAGGGTCATGGCCTGTACAATATTGGTCATGTGGTAGGGATCGGTTGAGGACGAAATTCAGGCATAGGCATAAGGCATAAGCATCTATAGACTGTTCTGGTTCTGGTTCTGGTTCTGGTTCTGGTTCTGGTTCTGGTTCTGGTTCTGGTTCTGCTCTTACTCCTTCTTTCCGGGTTTAGGGCCAGACGGGCAAGACATTCTCGCAACATGAATAGCTCCATCAGAGAAAGTACGATGAAATGTTCGCAACATGAATAGCTCCTTTTCTTCCGGATAACTAATTGCTTTATCCTGGCACCGGCACCAGGGCAGACAGTCACGGCGAGCCCAATCCAGAGCCAACAACCACGATGGGCATAATCCTCCCCTGAGGACATCAGTGCGCAGCAAATATCCGAGATTGATGACCGCAACAACGACGGAGCTCAACTGGCTGGTATGACACATTGCCTACTCCCAAACCAAATCAATCCTCTCCCCCACAACCTTGCTGTTGAACCATTCCAGAATCTCGACCTTCTCCTTGACCGTCTTGACACCACTGAGCACGTCGGCGCGAACCACCCTCTCCACGGCACAGAAGAGCTCGACCGTGGCCAAGTTCCGGGCTATGCACTGGCGCGAACCGAGGCCGAAGGGAATAGCATCGCGCAGCATAGCTTCGGATGGCTCCAGCCATCTCTCGGGGTTGAAGGCTTTGGGGTCTTCAAAGACGGCTGGGTTCAGATGCAGCACATACGGGGTGCAGCCAACGACCGTGCCTGGAGGAAAGTAGGTGTCTTTGAACGTCCAACCGGGCGCGGGAACGACGCGGGGCAGCCGAGACGGATTGGCCATGGACAGCCGAAGACCTTCCTTGACCACCCCCCGCAGGTACGGCAGGGACTGAAGATCGTCGAAGCTCGGATCGGCGGCGAGAATCTCGTCGCGCAGCCGGAGGTAGTATGCTGGGTTCTGGGCCAGCCGGTACAAAATGGTGGCAAGGTTCATCCCGGTACTGTCGGTGCCGGCAAAGATGAGATCCTTGCACTGGGCGCGGGTTTCGGACGGTGTGAAGCCCGCTTGGAGAAGTCGTGCCGGGTACGAGTTCAATGGATGACTGGGGGTGCGCTTTTCGTCCGTCTTGGTCTTGGATGCGAGGATGGCGGCTTCGGCGTCGCTGACCACGCTGGCAACGTATTCGTCCACGCGACTCAGACTGTGTGACACTTCAGCCTCGGCGTTCCACCAGGCATCCAGCCATTCAACCAGCTTGAAAGCCCAGCCTGGGAGGTACCAGAAGCGTCCGACGGCCACAAAGCAATCGACCATGCCGCTGGCACTCATGTCTTGCTCGTGGTCATCAGGGGTGGGGGAGCCTGCGACTTCCTTCTTGACTGCTATTTTTTCCTCTCGTACCACATTCTCGTCGAGGGCGCCGTACGTGTTTCCCAAGAGATAAGATGACACGGCGTCCACGGCCAATCCTCGGGTCAGGTTCAGAATATTCAGCGGTTTGCCTCGCTTGTCAGCTCGCTTTCCTTCCGACAGCCGGTGGACGAGGCGATCGACACATTTATAGATAATCTCCTGGCCCTGCCGGAGGTTCGTGGTCGAGAATAATGTGACCACGGCTTTTGCTCGAGGAGCACGTCTGAGGGGGTCGGTTTCTGAGAAGATGGATTTGTGGCCGTCGATGTCGAAGTTGGAATAGAAATCTGGCTTTACAAACCCGCCCTTTTCAGTGTAGATGCTGGCAAGAGCGGCTCCATCATCGATATCGACACTGTTAGGCCCCGTGCGGACTATTGAACCGTATTTCTCGTGGAGGGACTTGGTGACACTGGCTTCGTCCCCGATCCAGGCATGATAGGTCAACCAGAGAGACGACAGACTTGCAACACGGGGACCCGGAATGTGGGAGAGTGGGTGGAAGGAAGAGACACGGTATGTCGACCGGAGGAAGAAGAGAGTGATGGGAAAGAGGATCAATGAGAGGATGGGATGTGCAAGCAGAGGGGCGAGGATGATGGTATAGATGGCCATGATGGCACGATGAGGAAGATGAAAGGGAGTGGAAAATGGTTATTGCTCACGGCACGTCAATCCTTAGGTACCCTGCCAGTGTTCATATATTGAGTCATGGCTTGGACTGTGGTGAAGGGTGAAGGGTGGAGGATGACTCCGTGATGTGGGCGATGGAGTTGTGCAGTGGTGGTGGTGTCGTTGATGTCCATGGCATGCGCAGTTTGACGGACAACAGCGCCATGTCCCTCCACTGATGATAACCACGATCGCCATGCCAGCGATTGATTCAACATTGGCATGACAGATAGATTAAGAGCAGGCACAGATCGGACGGTATTTGAACACGGCAGATATCTCGGGATTGCTATTACACTCTTTCCATTCTACACGGTGATCTCCAGGTGCGATTTTGTGTGCCCGCCTCATATCCTCATATCCTGAAACTCTCTCCCATTCGGCGGTATGGGTTCAATCCAGACGGACGGGCCCCCTGCGGGACAGACGCCCGAGTCGACGCGTCAGATCGTTGTCGCCGGTGCACAGCTGGGCCCGATCCATATCAACACTCCTCGATCAGAGGCGATCGACCGAATGATCAAGTTGATGGACGATGCACACCAAAAACAGGCCAAGTTGATCGTATACCCTGAAATCGCCCCAGTGACATTCTTCCCCCGTCATGTGCTCGAGGGAGATGAACTGGAACAATACTTTGACCGTGAGGTCGACGGCGATGCGGCCAAATCCCCCCATTTGAAGCCGCTGTTCGACAAGGCGAGAGAATATAAAATGGACATGTATCTAGGGTACGCCGAATGCACCGGCGACGACCACGTCCACTATAACACCGTGGTGTATTATTCAGGGCAGGTAGACAAGGTCATTTCCAAGTACCGCAAGGTACACTTACCGGGCTCGTTTGAGCCATATAAAGGCAACGACGTGACCAACCAGCTGGAGAAGCGGTACTTCAAACCTGGCGATCTGGGATTTCAGGCATTCCGTGCTCCAGGGCTGCTACCCGACGTCGTCACCAAGAACTCGGGTGCAAAGGCCAATGAGGGGGACACTCTCGGCAAGGGAGACGCCATTGTGGGAATGCTCATCTGCAATGATCGCCGCTGGCCAGAAGCCTGGAGGGAATATGGATTGCAAGGGGTAGAATTGGTCTTGTGCGGGTACAACACCACCGCGTGGGCGCCCGAACTGCTTGGGACGAGCAAAAAGACCTCGACCCGGGAAAAGGCCAAAGAAGAGGCACTCTTCCACAACAAACTGTCCATCACCTACAACAGTTATGCCAACGCATGTTTCAGTATCAATGTGGCCAAGTGTGGGTTTGAGGACGGTCGGTATCCGTTAATCGGGGGCAGCTGCATCGTGGACTGCGACGGAGAGGTGGTGGTAGAGGCATCGACCGAGGAGGACGAGTTGATCGTGGCCGAGATCGACTTGGCCATGTGCCGCCGAGGCAAGGAGAAGGTGTTTGCATTTGAGAGACATCGGCGGACGGAGCATTATGGACGGATCGTAGGACAGACTGGTGTTGTTGAGCCAGAATTGTTGTAGACAAGAGAGTTGATGGCTTGGACACAATGGGCGCAGCCAGTGGTCAAGGCAGGAAAAGGCCAGCTCCGGTCTAGCTTCACAGCGGTTGAGTTTGGGGGCTTGAGGCTGAGAGAGTAGTGACCTATGGAGCGTCCTTAGCCTGTTAAGTCCATGCTATTGGGACTGCGGAGGCCTAAGGGCCTTAGGGCCTGCGGAGGCCAGCTGAGAGACAGGAAACCTACCAAGCCTATCGGGAGCCCCTTAGCCTTCTAAACCTATAAGGCCGAGCCTTAGGCTTCTTAGGCCTTAGAATTGCCCAGCCCTAAGCCACTTAGGCGCGATCCGGAGCTGCCAACTGCCAACTGCCAGTGTCACTCAGGTGCTCAGTGGTGGTGGTCCAAATATAGCACTGGCCCCGGGCGATTAGTATTGTCCGTCTTATGCGCCGTCCGCCGTCCTACGTCCTGCATCCTACGACTCTGGATGAGAAAAAGGATGGATTTCCCTCTGACAGGGTTATGTTACTAACATAGAACGGGCCGCACTGCTCTCCCATCCCCATCTTATTCTTACCTTCCATGTCAACACTACTACTCCGTACTATCGTGTCGTCACCATCGCCAAAACATCGGATCGGTGGGCAGCGGAGAATAAAACAGGCTTCGGCCACGGCCACACACAAATCCCCAGGCACGGGTGCGCCAGACGGAAACTGTAACAGCATCATCCCTGCACAGCTCGCTACGTGCTGTACCCGTACGCGGACCCGATAGGAAGAGATCCAGCAATCAATCGCTCTCTCGACCTGAACCATGGCCAACTCTTCACCACCACCACTTGAATCAGATCCGCAACTGCTCGAACAGCTTCAATCTCAATCTCAACCTCAACTGGGACACCCTCTCTCCTTGCGTCCCGGCCGCTCTCCCTCCCCCTCTCCTTCTCCCTCTCTTCTCAGCCACGAGCCGAGTCAAGAGTCAAACATGTCTTCTTATCAATCACCTCCCTTGCAGCGACAACAAACACCTCGTAACCCTGTTGATCACGCCTACACCAACTCCTACAGCGGCCGCTTCCCCAGCCAGAATTTCCCACCTCAATCGCCCACAAATGAAGCGGGTTCGTCATCGAGTAATCCGTTCGGAGACGGCAGAGCGAGCTCGCGATCACGAAGCAGCACCATCGGCCAAAACTACCCCATCCCCGCGCAGCCTCCGATGCCCAACTCTCCGCCTCAGAACGTCCAGCCTCTGTTCGCTCAGCACAGCGGCGGCGGCCAACAGTCTTCCCGCCCAGTCTCGCGCTCCGCCGCGTCCGCGTCCGCTTCCATCTCCGGCCCCGGAGGCTCCAGTGTCGCCATGATGCAGGGTGCTCTAGGCGGTCCGAACGGTGGTGTCGGCCCCAGCGCGCGGACGACAGCATCTAACAGATCACCTTTCTCCACGCCTGTCACGTCGCTGTCGCGTCAACGGCCGCACCAGATCCTGCTGATCAATCCCAACTCAACGCGCTCCATCACCGAAGCATGTCTCAACTCGATCCGGCCCGTCATCCCCATGGGTGTCGAGGTGACGGGGTACACGGCACCCTACCCGGCACCTACGGCCATCGAATCGGCCACCGACGCCATCATGTCGACGGAGGCAGTGCTGCGCGACTTGGCGAAGCACGCGGCATCGAATGGCGAGACGGTGCAGAATTTCGACGGGATGATTGTGGCCTGTTTCTCCAAGCATCCGTTGATCGACGCCCTGCGCGAGTCGTACGATGTCCCGATCATCGGCATCATGGAGGCCAGCCTGTACGTGGCACGCATGTTGGGCGGGCGGTTCGGCATCGTGGCCACTGGACAGCGCTCCAAGATCATGCAGGACGACCAGGTGGCCGGGTACGGTCTGTCACACTTTTACGTCGGCAGCGAGTCGACGCATTTGGGCGTGTTGGAGCTGGAGGCGCGTTCCCGCGACGAGGTGGCCAAACGGATCGCCCACGCGTCTCGCACGCTCGTGGTCAAGGGCGCCGACACCATTCTGCTGGGATGTGCCGGCATGACGGACATGACGCGGGCGGTCAAGGACGCGGTGAGGGAGGAGGATGGTCGACGCACCGTCAATGTCATTGACTCGGTGGAGGCTGGGGTCATGATGATGGCGGGGCTGATCAACATGGGCATTCCCACGAGCAAGAAGGGGCTATATAAGGGCGAGAAGGAGGGGAGGCGGACTCGGGGGCAGAACTGGTTGTGATGATGAGGGAAGAGGGAGGGGAGCTGGTCTCGGGCCAGAAGTGGTTGTGATGATAAGGGAAGGGGGAAGGATGAAGGGGGAAGGTGAAGATGATCCGTGCCTGGCTGGACTAGACGGTACGTGACTACCAACGAGGCTGGATAGGTTTGGATGTGAGATGTGACGACAATCGCGACCTAGACAAGAGCAGATGGGATTGGGAGGGATTGGGATCAAGATTAGGGTATGTATGAATTTACATGACGATAGGTAATGTCGAGCAGTTGCAGTTGCAGCAGGTGAGTTGGAATTGTGCCAGATGAAAATGATATTATGATTCGATTCTCACAAGGATTTCCAAAGATTCCCACTCCCACTCCTACTCCCCTCCCCTCTGGCGGCCGGAACAGCGATCCTAATGTAAGGTCCGGCAGCTCTCCTCTACCACCAGAACAGCATCCTAATGATGAGGTCGCAACTCTCCCCTACCACCGGAACAGCATCCTACTGATGAGGTCCCGCCGCTCCTCTCCAACTCCCACTGTTCCTCCTTTCTCCTCTGCCGGCCAGAACAACATCTAATGATGAGGTCCCGCCGCTCTTCTCTGCCGGCCGGAAATCAGATAGATACTGGCACGCATGTCGAGCAGCGGGTCAGCACTGGGCTCGAGACCCGGGACGCGCGGGACGGGATCGAAGATGGTAGTGCGCTGCTTCTCGTCATTGTCGTCGACGACGGCATCGAGGACAATAGAGCCCAAAGGGACGATCTGACGGTCCTCGGGCCAGCGCACGGTAGCGTCGTCAGTGGGGTCGGCGTCGTCTGCGATCTGGGCCGACAGCGTGAACGACACGGGCCCGTCGATGATGCGGGTCTGGATGTCGTTGTGCAGAAACGCCGGGTCTTTCGCCTGGGCCTCGTCGTCGCTCAGGTGCGCCTCGCCCGCGTCCGGGGTGATGCGGTAGCGGACGAACGTGGCGCCGCCATCGCCAGCCACCAGCTTGATGGCGTTGACGCCGAAAAACTTCTCCGTGGCGAAGCTGGCCGGTGCGGGTTTGGGCGCCGCCACAAATGCGGCCGCCGATGGGTTTTGGGCCAGGAAGGTCTGGATCGGCGACGGCTGTGGCGTGTCCGGCCCAGATGATGCCCCTATCGCTTGCAGCATCTCCAGAAACTGTTCGCCCGTGCGCACGGGAAAGAAGGGCGTCGAGTGCGCCACGATGTCGGTGTGTTGTCGTCGTCCGTCGCTGTCGTCCGGCAGCACGAACCGCGTCGCCATGCCGCGCGGGTTGGCGTCGGCCGCGTTGTCCGGGATCTGCGGCAGGCCCGTCGAGTTGGAGAACCGTACCAGCACCGGCGTTGACGGAGCGTTGAAGTGGTGTGCTGAGCTCAACGATTTGGCTGCCGAGCTGGGCGTGAAGTTTCCGCTCAACAAGATCCCCCGCGCGTGTGCCGGTCGGAACCCCGGCGGCGTGTGGAATGCTCCTTTCAGCGTCGACACCAGCGCCTCTGCTGTCGTGTTGGTCTGCTCGTTGCTGGAGAGAGGCATGTTGGGCAGGACGGACGGAGGACGGTAGTCTACGGAGGACGGTAGTCTAGAGAGAGAGGGAGAGATGTCTGGTTTGCTTGTGTATCTGAGATGTGAGTGGGAGACGGTTAGTGGAGGTATGTCTGGTCAGTCTAGAGGAGTGCTGTAGGTACGTAGGGCCTTCAAGCTGTCTACTTGTACCTCTGCCTACTTATACCTCTGCCTGCTTACACATCTGCCGCGCCGTGCATCGTGCATTGTGCTGTCATGTCCTCCAGTCGCGCGGGCCGGCACTGGTGACTGAACATGAACATGAACAGTATACCTGATAAGGTCTGTCCGGCACAGCATGGCAAGGCATGTCATGTCATGTCAAATACCCAGCCGCAACGCAAACAGTCAGCAAGCGTCGTCGCCATAGCCACAACCAGCCAGACAGAAGCGACCTTCATGGTGTGGAAACTCCATCGTCTGGATGGCCATTGGACAACCCTTGACCATTGGTTTCTTCGTATACCCAACCCGGCCTGGTCACCATGCAGGAGCTTAGTCAGGCTTCCATCGAGTCCGCCATGATGACAATTCATTGCTTCCACATTCGTCGAGCCAGGCCCAAAGCTGGTTTTTGGGACAGGCTAATATTTAATCGAGGTCGTGGTCGAGAGTCGAGGGTCGAGGCGGCGAAGCGAGCACATACAGGATGGACGGGAGTACTAGTGTTAGTGACCACTGACCAGGTCGCAGCAGTGGTAATAGAGGAGAACAGATTGGTGAACGAGTGACTATGTGGCTGAGGAGTTGCTTGCTCACCAGTCTGATGGACATGGTCAGCTTTCACCTTTCACACTTCACACATGCTCGACTCGCTTCTCGTCTTGCTTCTCGCGGATGAGAAGGGAGGAGGTTCAAGTTGCGAATCAGCTGGAAGACTGAGCAAACCTCTTTCGGCAGTCCATGCCGCTGTTTTACGGGCTTAGGGTTAGGGTTAGGGTTATTGGGCTCGGCGAAGGGAGCATCGGCGTAAGCTAAAGCGGCGAGGATAGAGTACGGAGAACGGATCCTGTTTATCCGAGAGTCCATTTCCATTCTATTTTCGGGCATCATACAACAGAGGTTGATTCGTGATTCGGTTGATTGATTGCTCATCCTGACTCCTGACTCCTGACCCTTGATGCGGGAGTAGGATGGACTATGTACTATGTACTGTTCTGCCATGTCAGCTCCATTGCATTGCATTGCATTGCATTCCAGCTTGGAAGAAGAGAAAAGAGAAATGAAAGAAGATCCCAATCTTCTCCCCTGTAGCGGTATGCGTAAGGGAGGCTCCAAATGTGTTGTTGTTGGCTACATACATATGTATGTGCTACAAACGAGACAGAGGAGATACCTGGTATGTATGGTACAAGACCCATGACAACTTGCCTCCCCCGGTTCGCCCTCATTCGTCATCCGTCATCTGCTGTACCAAGTTTATACTAGGTCGTTCCACTTCTCACTTAGTATAGTGTTAGACTCTCCTGCATCGGTTTGCCCACAAATAGCGGCCCTCTTGTATCTAGCTCTTTGATGATGTCTTCGTACTGGTCGAACCATCTGATATCGATCTCGTTCCGCACAGGCCTCGGCAAGTGCCTTCTGATGTCCTGGGCCTCCCCGTTGCAGTTTTCCCTGCACCACACGTCCCATCAGTTCCAAAGTCCTCTCCTGTTCGACCCTCATTTGACCCAGCTTCAAAGCCGAGCGATTATCGCCAGTCTGCTTCCGAGACAGCTACCATCACGAGCGCCCGGACACCTATATCCCACCGACTACCAGAGAGCAGAGCTGCTAAGTCAAGTATCAAGTAGCTCCAGTCCTACTTGGAAGATACGATGCCTGACCACACCATTTACTGAGACCCCTGCATGTGAATTCATGGGGCCCAGAGCTCGGGAGGTTCTGTAGGTTTACCTCCTTTCGTCTCCAGAATTCCCACGATTCGTCTCCATACCCCTCAGGATATCTCATCTCGTCCGGCGGCCTGACCTCCTTCGTGTTCACTGTCTGAGGGTCCATTCCAGGGGGCATCCCATCAAGGACTCTATCGTGTGTCCGCTTGGCCTACTAACGGAGAGCCTTCTGATGTTTCCCAGCTGCCGTAAGTCGTCGCTTGACCTCTTCGTTGACCTTTGGTACCGACTTGTCTTCATTGTACCGGTCTTTCATGCTACTGCGGCTGCTGCCAATGGTGGCCATGTCGGTAGAGTAAGTGGACGGCGAGGCGGGTACAAACGTTGGTGACGGCGAGGCGGGTATGAACGGGGGTGACGGTGAGGCTAACCCAAGTATTGGTGACGGCGAGGCAGGTGCTAGCATTGGTGACGGCGAGGCTAACCCTAGCATTGTCTTCTATCATCACCCTACACCCTAACAAAGCTGATCTTTACCTTGCTTCGGCATCTTTCTCCGATCTCTCCCAAGATCTGTCAGAGAATTGTCCGTTTCCTTTTCGACCTCGAGGTTCAGCCTGTCTTTAGCATAAAATTGTATCTCTCGTTTTGTTGGCCCTGAATTGTATCTCTCGTTTGGTTTGGCTGGCCACGTTCAAGGTGTTTTTGGTGTTTTTGGTATTTCTGGTTCGTCCCGCCATGTACCCATATTATCACTGATCACAAGGTTGATCAACACATGTCAGAAAAGTGGGCGCGAGCATGGGCGTGTAGCGCGTTGGGCGCCAGCGAGGCGAAGAGTGGGTGGCGGTCGGTATGGGCGAGTGACCCGTTCCAACCGGATGGTAAGTGAAGATGTTTGTGAAAGATGAAGTGATGGCGTTGGAGAGAAGACAGGAAGACGAACAGTCGAAGATAGTACGAAGAAGGATGAGTTAAGTTGAGTGCAACTGTCTGTTTGGTGACCTCGGCTTCCTGTGCTCTCAACTGACAGGAAAGATATCTCCATCTCCTTATTGTCTGGCTGGGCTGGGCCGTTAGCGAGACGATACACGTCACGGGATTCTGTTCCAGAATACTAGTACTCGGTCCACCTCCTCGCCATTTCCTCTGCAGAGGAATATAGGCGCCAACGGCAGCGGCAACAAGACAAGCATCCATGTCGGGCAATCGTTCGCTACCGAGTAGTAAGTAGTAGGAAGGGCTACCTCGAGCGGGTGTAGTCTACAAGCAAGTTGCCATGTATATCTTTGAGAATATCTGAGAATCTTGCGGTCCCACTCATCAGAATCGAAGAGGTTGGTGGCGAGGTTGTTGCCTTGTACCGGGACGTCTCTGCCCGGATGTACGCCTTCAAAAGCTGCTCGGCTGTCCAGCCTTCAGCAATGAGGTCTTTGGCTGCCCATTCCTGGGACTTCCGAGTATATATATCCGGCACACTTCACCAAGTCCCTCCCAGAAAAAGTGAGTCGGGGGCGATCTTTGTCATTCAATGGCCAGTTGGCCGACAGTTCGATCTGCAGCGTAGTCGCAGCGAACTTTGTCTTGTCCCCTTGTTCATTGACATGCGAATGCAACAAGAAATGACAATTCTCGTCGCGGTACATGCACCTGCACCTGCACCCTGGCTTAGGTCGTTTTCCTTCTCTTTCCCTTTCGAGCCTTGCAACGATCCCGCCACTCGTAGAATGCTGAGCCGGTTATCTTCCACCTTCGTAGGGTATGCCATGTTCGTGGGTTGGATGCTCGAAACCCTGATGTCAGTTTGGGAACTTTGGGCATAAGAACAGGGCGTTTCTTTCTCGTCCATGATTCTTTCTGTGCATGATGTCCAGGTACGACACTTAATTCCTTCCAAATTGTCGACAGATGTTTCGTAGTATATTATATATCCGTCTGCATCCAGAACTTCAGAAGGTGTTACCACAATCCCAGAGCCGATAGGCACTAGGGATCCGTGTTGCGTTCATTCCATGCTCTGCAGAGTCGGCTCTGTTCATCCGGGGTTAAAGGATCCCTTGACTCGTAACTAGGATCTATATGGCCCATCTGACCGTATCTGAAGCACTGGAATCTTGCATGCTCTCCCATCGTATGTGCCTCCCGCATCCTCTAAGTAACTGTAACTGTAACTGCACATCGGACAGACCTTATGGTGCTCAGAAGTAGACGAGGCAACTGGGCAGATCCGGAGCCGACATGTCCCAGGACTGCCGAAGATGGTGGAGAGGAGGATGAGGAGGCTGACAACGAGCTGATAGTGTACGACAGCCTCCATCGATGGTAGGGTCGAAGAGCAGAGCTGGCCGATTTCTCTCCTTGACCTTCTTATATGGTTCTTGACTCTAGCGAAGATGTCGTTGTCTGGCTTGCCATCATCTTCCCTCTAACCACCGTGTTTGTGATTGTGGTTGTCGTATACACGTTGTGCGAGCAGAACCAACTGCGGCATCAGGTAGTTATCCTGGTGCAATCAATAGAAAAGGATGTCTAATGGTTTTGCTGGAAAGGCAAATCAAGCCATTGTTGACTTGTATCCGTATCCATGTCCAGTTCAAGTTCTCTGGGATATATATTTCGAGTACCTTCGATGTTGAACTCCTATCGTTCAGAAACCGTATTGTCAGGAAGCCGAATTAGGCGGCGTTGAACTGCTATCACTCAGAACCGTATTTCCAGTAACCAGATCAGGCGCTGTTGAAGTTGCAGTCGCAGATGCAGTTGCAGTTGCAGACGAGATGGAGTGATGCTACCGGCACCCACGGCGACTGATGTATGCATCCCCCCTCGAACCTCAGCCGTCACCTGCTGGTGCTAAGTGTAGTGGTGTTTTTGATATCATATCATAACACTCCTTCCGAAATCCCCTATGTTTGTCCAAGCATCTCTTGGATTCCGTCAAGCAAAATCACGTAGCGTAGCGAGGATAGTCGCTGTGGAGTAGAATGAAAGGCCGCCCTGCCAAAGCCTTCTTAACATTGTTCGTCAATTCGCTCCCTCAGTCTTGTACGAGGTTCTGCATGTCTGGCTGCTTCTTACTGTTGTGACTCTTCAGGTTGTTCCGACATGCCACAGTGTATTCGTCGAGTGGTA